GTGAGTGATCCCTCCCTGTCCTCATCTCGACCCATGAGACTTTCGTTGTATTTTCTCTCTCCTGCAGCTGAGGACAGCGATAGAGCAGCTTTGGTGGGCACATGGCATCCAGCCAGGGTCAACCCACCACACCTTTGTTTTGTTAATGACTTTGATGATGATGGTATAAGAAGTGCATTGTTAATTTGACAGAGAGTACCAGGCTGGGAGAGGATTCAAGTTCTTCGAAGAATAAATTTAGAATTTCACATGACTTAGAGAAATTAGAGAAACAACATAAAAGAAATAATGCTGTTTAAAAGAACAAATGCAAAGTACTGGGCTTAGATTAGATAGTTCCCTACATAAATAAAAACTAGCAATAATTCTAGAAAAAAGAATCCCATTTTTTTTAGGTGAATCATAGTCTGAACATGCGTCAATAGCACTGTGCTGTTGCAATATGGGTAATCATTCTTCTGGGATGTATAGTTAGAAGGGACATATTAAACATGTCACATAATCTCACTCTACTCCACGTTGCTTGGGCTTCATTAGTTTTTGGGCATCACATTTAAGAAACGGTTTGACCCCACGGGAGTCTCTTCCAGGGGAAAGCAACAAGAATCTTCAAAAGTCTGGAATAAAAAAGTGTGATGTGGAAAGGCAGAGAGAGTAGTTCGCTGAGATGAGAGGGGACTAAGACATGAAAGCAGTCTCCAAGTATGGGAGGGGATGCTGCAAAGAAAAGGGCATAAACTTCCTAAGCGTCAGGAAGTAAAGGGCTCTGGCAAGAGTTAGGAAAAATACTCTGTTGAAAAGGGTATATTGAAATTGGAATAGATTTCTGTTTACAGCTAAAGTACTCATACTGTGTCAAACGGGGTTTTGTTGTCGGTAATACTGGGGTAAGTGGTTTCTCTGTCATTGCTGGAGAGTGCACTACCACCCATCTTGCATGGAGAGAAGAACTTCAGCTTTGGTGGGGGAAGTTTCCTCTTGCCTTCCATTCCTCAGGGATGTCAGCCGCAGTTGGGGGAAGTAGAGCAAAAGGTCTGATGGTTTGGGTGTCCATTGGGGCACAAGAAGAGGTTCAAGCATGAGCTAAGCTAGCAACATGACCTTATCTTCAGGGAGGTTGTGGAGTGTTCATTATGGGTATTTTTTTGAAAAGAATTTAGGTAAGACCACACTGGACAGAAACTTAGAGTTGACATTAACTTAGAGAAGTAGGAGAGAATGAGCTGACTTTCCTCTTTTTTATTTTTTCCACATTGTTTTTATAAGACTGGAGTTTAGTGCATGGGTGCTGAACTAAGTTTTGTGCAGGCAACCTTAATTTTGGTATTTCCTGAT